AATATTTTTACTGTGTAGTCAGAAAAAAATAAATAAACAACTTACATGACATCCTTATGTCCACTCGTGCAGGATTGCTCTTTGTCCGCCTCACTAATTCCATTACTGCCGATGCCACTAAATAAAACAAATTTACATAAAACAAATATTTACTTTGTTTCCTACAACACTAAAATCAAAATAGTTTGACAGTATATGTTTTCCCCCATAATTGATTATGTGAAAAAAACGATGTGATAATGCAATTTGTAAGTAAAAATAAAATGTCTCTCTATATCCTAATTTCTGTTATTAATCATGCACTAGTGCTTCTTGACTGTCATCAATTCATTACTTACAATATCACTAAACAAAAGAAATTTAAATAAAACAATTTGTATTTTTAATTCCACTTGATTGATTTGTTTTATATTTAAAAAAATGTTTCCCTCATTACTTATGTGAAAAAAATTGTTTAATATATTTTCTCCATAGGCAGAAAAAATGTAATTAAAAATATTTTCTTTGGTGATTGATCAGCCTTCTCAGTTTAAATATATTTTTTCTTTCCAAAAGGTAGATTGGGGATGAGGCCAGTAAGTTTTATGTTTCCTGAATGTTTAGTTTTATGTTTCCTGGCCTCATCCCCAATATACCTTTTGGAAAGAAAAAAATGTAATTAAAAATATTAAAAAAAAAAAAAACTTACATGACATCTGCAGTTCCGTTACTACTCGTGCAGGATTTCTCTTTGTCCACCTCACTAATTCCATCATTGCTGACACCACTAAATAAAACAAATTTACATAAAACCAATATTTATTTTGTAAGTGTATTCCTACAGCACTAAAATCTTCAACAATTTGACGCTAAATGTTTCCCCCCATAATAGATTATGTGAAAAAAACGATGTGATAAAGCAATTTGTAAGTAAAAAATAAAATAAAACGTTTCTCTATATCGTAATTTGTTATTAATCATGCACTAATGCTCCTTGCGCATGTTATCAATTTCATTACTTTCAATATCAATAAATAAAAGAAATTTAAATAAAACAAATATTTATTTTGTATTTTTTATTCCGCTTGATTGATTTGTTATGTATTTAAAAAAAAATTTCCCTCATTACTTTTGTGAAAAAATTGTTTAATATATTTTCTCTGTAGGTAGAAAAAAATGCTGTGTAAAAAAAATAAAAATGACTTACATGACATCCTTATTTCCATTACTACTCGTGCAGGATTGCTCTTTGTTCACCTCACTAATTTCATCAATGCCGAGATCACTAAATAAAAGAAATTTACATAAAACAAATATTTACTTTATACGTGTATTTTATTTATACAAGA